ATTTGAACAGCACTTGCTATTGCCTCAAGAAGGGAGTGGCTGAGAGGTCCAGTACAACTTGTAATGAATTTACCTCTGTGTTTCTGAGGATGCTGCTGATTCATCTTCGGACACTCAGCCTGGAAAATAGCCAGTATTCAGTGAATGTTTGAACTGAAAGAACAGCCCTTCAGTGTGATCATGGGCTCCTACTTGAGTGACCAGTGTTGATTGCATTTGGGTTCAAGTTTTTTCTGTACCTTAATTGGGCTAATGTGGTCTGAGGGATGTCGAGAAACTCCACAGAAACCCTAGTGCCTATGACTACTCCCTGAAATCCCACTGTTGGTGCTTTGTGTCTTTCACTGGTTCCTGCCTATACCTTGTCAATTCCATTGTCAGACGTAGGTCTTCAAGGGTTGGAGGGGCAGAAAGCCTGCTAGTTGTAGGGAAGAGGGGAAAGATCCACAAAGACCCCTCTGAGAGATAGCCTTGGCATTGGCCAAGACCTAAGACAAATAAAGAAGACTTAAAAGACAGGTATTATTTTATTTTCAAATGGGAACCTCCTGGCATTTTCTTGGTTCTTGCAATTTGTGTGCTATGCCCTGTAGCAGTGTTCACCATTTACCCAGGAACTGATTGATTTTGCTAATCATAGAACACAGAGTGATTTTTGCAAGATTCTTCCAAGCAAGATCATAAAACATTTCTAGGCTGGGCGCAGTGGCTCATGCCTATAATCCCAGCACTTTGGGAGGCTGAAGCAGGCAGATCATCTGAGGTCAGTAGTTTGAGACCAGGCCTCTACTAAAAATACAAAAATTAGGCCGGACGTGGTGGGTGGCTCACACCTGTAATCCCAGCACTTTGAGAGGCCAAGGTGGGCTGATAGCCTGAGGTCAAGACTTTGAGACCAGCCTGGCCAGCATGGTGAAACCCCATCTCTACTAAAAATATAAAAATTAGCTGGGTGTGGTGGCAGGTGCCTGTAATCGCAGCTACTCGGGAGGCTGAGGCAGGAGAATTGCTTGAACCCGGGAGGTGGAGGTTGCAGTGAGCTGAGATCGTGCCATTTGCACTCCAGCCTGGGGGACAAGAGTGAGACTTTGTCTCAAAAAATATATATATACACACATATATATGTAAATATATGAATAAATATATAAATATATGCATATATATGTAAATACACACACACACACACACATATATATATACACACATACACAAATTAGCCGGGTGTGGTGGCACACACCTGTAATCCCAGCTACTTGGGAGGCTGAGGCAAGGAGAATTGCTTGAACCTGGGAGGGGGAGGTTACAGTGAGCCGAGATTGCACCATTGCACCCAGCCTGGGTGACAGAGCGAGACTCCATCTCAAAGCAAACGAAACAAATTTCTAATAACCAACAAGGGAAATAGTAAAAGACTTGTGCTATTCCATGTGTGTGCCAACCAGTTCACATACTGACTTGTTTACATCCTCTCCCAGTCTGGGGTCCCCAGGAGTGACCCTGAGACAAGGATATGAGTGAGTGGTTCTTTTGGAGGTGCTCTCATGAAGCCCCAGTAAAGCAGTGAAGAAGTGAGACAGGGAGATGAAGCGGGGGTCAATACAGGGTGTGCTGATGAGCAACTGGGGCTCAGGTCCACTGGGGAACTTGGGGAGACAGTATCAGTAGTGAACATGCCACAGAGTTATTCCATAGGAGGGCCAAGGGAACTGGGCACCATATATCCACCAGCTCCCATCAGTCATTGATTGAGGGCTGCTCCCAGAAGCATTAACTCCTTGGCACTTCTAGTTACCCCTGCACGTGCCCATGCTTTCATGGCCAGAGAAAATGATCAGGTAAAAGGGAGTTGGAGTGCCAAGACATATGGGTAGGGCACCTGCAGCATCTACTACACAGACCAGCCCATTCACATGCCAACCCATCCATGAACAGCCTAGGAGGGTGTCTGCCTAACAAGTGCCAGCATTCCCGTGTACTAATCCATTCATGTAGGCATCTTTTTCAGAGGCCAACTCATTCCAGAGGCACCATTCATATGCCAATTAGTGAGAAAAGTGATGTACACAGAATGTGGCCACTGGAAATATCTCAGGCTTCTGTGAACACAGGTGTCAATTCCACTCTGTAGCATCAGTGTATTTGAAGTGATTTTCCCTGGTAGTATGTTTTAATTCCTTTTTATTTTTAGTGTATCTGTTAGGTTTTGTGGTTGCTTTGTGGTTACCATGAGGTTTATAAAAAACATCTTATAGTTAACAAGTTATTTGAATAGATGACAATTTTCGTCACGAAGAAAGGAAAAAACTAAAAACCTCTACACTTTAACTGCATTCCCCTGTATTCTTACTTTTTATTGTCTTAATTTACATATTTTTATATTGTCTATCTCTTAAATTGTTCTAGTTATTATTTTTGATATATTTGTCTTTTAGTCTTCATACTAGAGAAATGAGTGGTTGACACACCACAATTACGGTATAAGTGTATTCTGAATTTGTCTGTGTATTTACTTTTACCAGTGAGTTTTGTACCTTCAGATGTTGTCTTCGTTGCACATTAATGTTCTTTTTTTCCAGATTAAAGAACTCCCTTTAGCAATTCTGTAAGACAGTTCTGGTGATGATGAATTTCCTCATCTTTTGTCTAGCAAAATCTTTCTCATGTTTGAAGGACAGTTTTTCTGGGTACAGTATTCTCAGTTGACAGGTCTTTTTTACCTTCAGCACTTTGAATATGTCATCCTACCCATGCTGGGTGTGTATGTTTTCTGCTGAGAAGTCTGTTGTGAGATGAATCAGAGCTCCTTTATATGTTATTTGCTTTCTCTTGCTGCTTTTAGCATTTTCTCTTTGTCCTTGACCTTTGAGAGTCTGATTATTCTATGCTTTGAGGTAGTTTTATTTGGGTTAAATCTGTTTGGTGATTCTTGACTTTCCTGTACCTGGCATATTTATATTTTTTCTCTAGACTTGGAAAGGTGACTGTTATTATTTCTTTGAATACACTTTCCACCCCCTTGCTCTAATTCCCTCTTGAAAGCCAGTACTCCTAGATTTGCTTTTCTGAGGCTCTTTTCTAGATTTTGTAGGCATTCTTCATTCCTTTCATTCTGTTTTCTTTTCTCTCCTCTGATTGTGTATTTTCAAATAGCCTGTCTTTGAGTTCATTAATTATTTCTTCTGCTTGGTCTGTTCTGTTGTTGAGACCTTGTGATGTGTTTTTTAGTTCAGCTAATGTACTTCTCAGTTCCAAGATTTTTGTTTGATATTTTTAAAATTATTTTAATCTCTTTGTTAAATTCCTCTGATAAGTTTCTGAATTGCTTTTCTGTGTTACCTTGGAGTTTGCTGAGTTTCCTCAAAACTGCTATTTTGAATTCCTGATTCGTGAGCTCACAGATTGCCATCTTGTTTGGGTCAATCACTCACTGGCTCCTTGCTTTGTCCATTTGAAGAAGTCATGGTTCCTGATGTTAGCAGTTTCTTTTTTTTTTTTTTTTTTTTTTTTTTTTTTTTTTGAGACGGAGTCTTGCTCTGTCGCCCAGGCTGGAGTGCAGTGGCCGGATCTCAGCTCACTGCAAGCTCCGCCTCCCGGGTTCACGCCATTCTCCTGCCTCAGCCTCCCGAGTAGCTGGGACTACAGGCGCCCGCCACCTCGCCCGGCTAGTTTTTTGTATTTTTTAGTAGAGACGGGGTTTCACCGTGTTCGCCAGGATGGTCTCGATCTCCTGACCTCGTGATCCGCCCGTCTCGGCCTCCCAAAGTGCTGGGATTACAGGCTTGAGCCACCGCGCCCGGCCTGAGCAGTTTCTTATGCATGTACACATATGTCTTCACATTGAAGGTTATTTATTCCAGTCTTTGCTGCCTGGGTTAGTTTGGTCTCTTTAGCATATGTGTGTTTAGATGTTCTGTGCACTTTGTCTACTGATTCCTTTAGCTCTAGATCACTGCCTCCTTTTCAGCACTAAATAGCACCCTAAGCCCAGGTTTGTCATGACTCTTGCAAAAGTTCAAAGCTCTGCCTTTTCACAGATAAAGGGCATCAAAGGGGATTCTACAGCTGTGTGGGGAGGCTGGCTAGGGGTTCATGACCAGAGGGCCTGTGGAGAGTGCCTCTTACAATGTGATGCTGCTGAACCACCTCTCTGATTCAGGGTCTTATTTGTCTGAGATGAATAGTAGCCCCAGAGTTTCACGCACTAGGCTGCTAGCCCCACCTCCACTGTCTATGTGACTCCAGAGGCTTTCAGGGGTCCCTCACCCTACAGGTATTCATGATTCTTCCTGTGGATTGAGGCAGGAATACTTTCCTGAGTAGGTAGTCAAGATGATGAAGTTGGCTGGCTGCCTTGATCTTACTTTTTCCAGTGTAGAAATGTCCAGGGAACTTTTCTGCATGGTGACGTACGGTTTGGGGAAGGGATGTTACAGAGGAGTCCATTTTACTACCTTCTGCTCACAGTTTTTCACTTTTCTGTGGCCCCAGGATTTGTCAAAGCCTCAGTTTTGAGTTCTGGGATATTGGTGTTTATCATCTTGGCACTAGATCGTTGTTGTTGGTTTTCTATGGGGGGCAGTGAAGCCAGATTGCTTCTACTTTACCATTTTGGTGACACCCAACATCTATGTATTTTACAGGGGCTGGGATTGGGCTGGTCTTACATGCACTCATGCAGTCATTCAAGAAAAGAGGATGTTCACACTAGTTCTTTTTTGGGTAACAAAGAACAGCTCAGGAAGATTTTAATTTAACTGAAAGTACAACTTCCAAGAATAAAGGTGTTTTGTTTCTCATATTTCAAGAAAGGCAGTGGCATCCATAAGGTTGCTTCATCTACATGAGGTGGTGCATTTAAAAAAGGAGGACAGATACATTAATTGGACTTTGGGGAATGGTGATAGTTTTTTTCCTAATGCCCTGACACAAAGGGCATTGGCCAAATTTCTGCAGGGCCTCAAGAGTGAACTCGGCTCTCATAAGGGATTTGCCTCCAAGACTCAGGGTCTCAGGTGACAGGCTACATGACCCTGAAAGACAACACAAGAAAACCAGCTCAGCCAGTGTCTGTCATCTGAGAGATAATGAACCCTTCACTTTTTAACAAGGTGGTAAAACTTCCCTTTTGCAAAGAATAGCATAACATTTTTGTATATGTCAATCAGCCTGTTTTGCACCAACTTGAAAGCAATGAACACAATCTCCATTCCAATGATGATATAAATGGAGAAGAACAGGAAGAAGTTAGGGTGTTCTAAAACAGTATCCCCAAACCCAATGGTGGTCAGCGTGACAAAGCAGAAATAGAAGGCATTCTCAAAATCCAACTGTGTCTCCCAGAAGGGGAGGATGGCGGCTGCACAGGAAATGTAGGCAAAAACAATAAGGGCAATGATAGGGAGAGGGATGTCCAGCCTCTCCACCTGCTGTCCAACTTCATCCAGGTTGCTGATGATGGAGTATGAGAGTCTCCCTAGCACCAGTTCAGGACACGAGTTACTCCTCTCCATGGCTTGTGGGGGAAGTTGCAGTGTGTTCTGTTTCTCTCGCGCATGAGATCTCTCAAACAGCTCCATGCTGCAGCTTGGGCGTGAAGGACGTTTGCCAAGTTTGGGGCCTGGAAGCTCTTCAGCACCGATGATGATCTGAGGGACAGCTTCATCTGCGGGCTTGGGTTCTGGTTTTTTCTTGAAGAGAGATTTGGGGCACCACTTGGAGAGGGGGCGGGTAAAGAAAGGGAATTTTCGGAACCGATTATAAGATGTGGATAAGATGGTTGCCAGGATGTCACCTGTGTCCGTGAGAACGAGGAACATCAGGGGGATACCAAAGAGAGCATAGAGCATGCACAAGTACTTGCCAAGCCTGGTGACAGGGTAGATGTAGCCATAGCCTGAAAAAGAAGATGGACTTAGAGTTTGCATCTGGCCCCTTCCCTTTTCCCCACCAAAAAGCTTTAAAGAGACCTTCTGCCATTTCCCCTCCTTGGCATGACATTTTACACAATGTTTTTGAAAATACTCATCTCAAAGCATTCAGCCACTGGTCTGGCATTAGGCCTGCTTTGCTGGGAGGGAAAGGAGTGAAACCCAGCTTCCCTTTAGGATGAGGAGCAACTGATATCCAGGTCTTTGACTTGAAATGTCCTTGGCAGGGGACCAGCACAGGTTTGGGGTGGACAGATTGCCTTTGATTCTGCTCTGGCCATTTCTGAGCACCCCCTGAAGGAAGGCCTCAGCTGACCTGGAAGGACAGGATGAATACAAGTGAGAGAGGATGGATGGCTTTGTAATCATATCCAACGCCACTTTTATTCTCTGTGAAGGTGCTGGCTTTTAAGAAGCCGCCCTTGGCCGGGTGTGGTGGTTCATGCCTGTAATCCCAGCACTTTGGGAGGCCAAGGTGGGCAGATTACCTGAGGTCAGGAGTTGGAGACCAGTCTGGCCAATATGGTGAAACCCCGTCTCTACTAAAAATACAAAAATTAGGCGTGGTGGCAGGCGCCTGTAGTCCCATCTACTGCCGGAAGGTTCGAGGCGGAGAATCGCTTAAACCCAGGAGGTGGAGGTTGCAGGGAGCCGAGATTGTGCCATTGCACTCCAGCCTGGAGGATGAGAGCAAGACTCCATCTTAAAAAAAAAAAAAAGCCACTCCTGTCCTCCATAAGAGGACTGGGCTATTTGTTTCTATGTAAGAGGCACTTATTGTGTCCCCACGGTGTGCTCAGCAGTGTGTACAGTATTAGGAAAAACAGAAAGATGGAAGATGAGTAAAATACGATTGCCCTCAGAGCTATTTGTTGCCTAGCAGATTAGACAAACATGTTCCTAATGAAGCAATTAGCCTCCCAGCATCTAGGTTCTGACTGACCTTGCTTTGAATCCCAGCTCTACTATTTATGATAATATTACTTGACTGCGGCGGGGCACGGTGGCTCAAGTCTGTAATTCCAGCACTTTGGGAGGCCAAGACGGGTGGATCACAAAGTCAGGAGATCGAGACCATCCTGGCTAACACGGTGAAACCCCATCTCTACTAAAAAATACAAAAAATACAGAGCGAGACTCTGTCTCCCAAAAAAAAAAAAAAAAAAAAATTACTTGACTGCTCACCTTTTCAGGTTTCATCTGTAAGATGGGGATGACAATGCCTACTTGGCATATTGACTAGCTGGGAGGATTACATGAGGCCCGTGCTTGACACACAGTGCACAACTGATAACTGGTGTCTTCACCCTCCAGACCTTAGCTGCCTAGTGAGCACTTCCTGTGGGCTGGGCGTCAGTCAGCCTTCATAGGGAGGTATTGTTATCACCATTCACAGGTGGGGAAACTGAAGCACAGAGAAACGAAGTAGCTTGCCCGTGAGCATACACGTGATACGCAGTGGAGTTGGGGTCAAATCCACAGGACTCTCAGGTCCCCAACCAGTGCTGTCACCCTCAGGAGCATCCAGGGGCAGGACCATTCAATCAGAGAGAACCCGGCACCAAAACAAAGGAAGGAATGAGCTGAGGTCTCCGTCCCCGTCGGGAGCCCCTCCCCTCCCCTTGCACCGACAGAGGGGCGGGAGCAGACAGACCTCAAACCCCACAGCACGGGTGGCTAGATATGCTGGAGCAGGCAAGCATCAATGACTTCAACAAGCAGAGGACAAAACTTTTATATTTAATGCCTGTGTTTAATTTTGATGTCATAAAGGATGATTAATACAGAAAAACCCAGCCCAATTATGTAAATTAATCTGAAGGCAACTCCTCAGCTGGCTAAGCCCCAACTTCCTCCAGAAGTGCAGCTCCCTGTGGCACACTTTGGCCCCGGGCTCTGCCGTCCAAGAGCAGGTGGGTATTCAGGTTGCCCACCCTCACCAGAGTCCCAAGTATGGGAGGGAGCTGTGGCCCTGAAACAGTCTCATCAGTTTGCATCCATTCCAGAGCACTCCATGCCACTCTGGCTGGTTCCACTAGGTACCATTCGATGGCAGTGTCAGTTAACTGTGTATTTGCATGCATTCATTCATTCATTCATTATTGAGTGCTTACTGCATGCACTGGGGACATAGTGCTGAGCAAAATGGATATGGGATATGACCCCTCTGAGCCTTTGGTTTGGTAAGAGAGGCAGACATTAATTTTAAAAATCACACTAATGGGTATGGAATTACAAATGGAGATCAATAACAGGAAGTGGAAAAGCAGACCATGAATGATTAGAACAAAGGCACCTATCCTGGGCTGGGCGCGATGGCTCATGCCTGTAATCCCAGCACTTTGGGGGCCAAGGCTCCTGATCATTTGAGGTCAGGAGTTCAAGACCAGCCTGGCCAACATGGTGAAACCCTGTGTCTACTAAAAATACAAAAATTGGCCAAGTGTGATGGTGCATACCTGTAATCCCAGCTTACTTGGGAGGCTGAGGCACGAGAATCACTTGAACCCAGGAGGCGGAGGTTGCAGTGAGCTGAGATTGTGCTACTGCACTCCAGCTAGGGCGACAGGGCAAGACCCTGGCTCAAAAGAAAACAAAAAACAACCGCAAGGCATCCATCCTGGATTTGGGCCCAGGAAAGATTTTCCCTGTGAGGGGATTTTTGAGCTGATGTTGGCAGGGGGCCAAGAACTACCCAGGTGAAGAGAGAGGAAGCAGCCTGTGCAAAGACCCTATGGCAGGTTCGACAAAGGGCTATCCATACAGCGACAGTGGGGCAACTTGTGTACTGCACATATACCAAGGGGGTGACTGGGAGCTGAAACCTAGCCTCTGTGCACTTACCAAGCTCAGAGCTCAGGGCTTGCGGCACTGGGCTGTGTCTGCCTAGCGAGGGATATGGTTTTCTAATTTTTCACCAAGATGTCACTCTGAGTATAGCTGTCACCCAGGTTTTTTTTTTTTTTTTTTTTTTTTTTTTTTTTTTTTTTTTTTTTTGGAAGACGGGAGGTCTCCGCTCTGTCGGCCAGGCTGGAGTTGCAGTTGGGCGATCTCAGCTCACGTGCAGAGCCCGCTCCCGGGGTTCGCCCGCCATCTCCTGGCCTCAGGCCCTCCCGGTGGAGGTACGCTGCTACAGGCGCCACCGCCACGCTCGCCCGGCCTAGTTTTTTTTGCTGATTTTATTTAGTAGAGACGGCGTTTCACCGGCCTGATAGCCAGGATGGTCTCGATCTCCAGACCTCGTGATCCGCCCGTCTCGGCCTCCCAAAGTGCTGGGATTACAGGCTTGAGCCACCGCGCCCGGCCAGCTGTCACCCAGGTTTAAGGAACCAAGAGAAGGCCAGTGTGGCCAGTGTATAGGGAGGTAGGGGAGGGGAGCAAGGTGAGGCCGGGAGGTAGGCAGCATCTAACGGCTTCCATGGCAGATGGGGGAGCACCTTGATCAGTGTGGAAGGCTGAAAAATGACAGCCCCCAAATATAGCCAAGTTTTAATTCCTGGAATCTGTCAGTGCTGCCGTATTTGGAAAGTGAGTCTTTGTAGACATGATTAAGGATCTCGAGATGAGGAAGTTATCCTGGATTGTGTGTGTGGCCCTAGGTATCATTACAAGTGTCCTGATAAGGGAGAGCCTGAGCAAGATATTTTACACACAGAGAAGAGGAGGTAATATGACCTCAGAGGCAGAGACCAGAGTGATGTGGCCACAAGCCAGGGAATGCTGGCAGCCACCAGAAGCTGCCAAGGAAGGGTCCTCCCCTAGAGCCTCAGAGGGAGCATGGCTCTGCCAATACCTTGATTTTTGAAATCAGTAAAACTGATTTCAAACTTCTGGCCTCCAGATCTTGACAGAATAAATTTCTATTGCTTCAAGCCACCGAGTTTGTGGAAATTTATTACAGCAGCCACAGGAAACAAAATCAAGTTTGCATCTTTTTTTTTTTAAGATGGGATCTTGCTCTTTTACCCTGGCTGGAGTGAAGAGGCGTGACTTTGGCTCACTGCAACCTCCACCTCCTGGGTTCAAGCAATTCTTCTGCCTCAACCTCCTGAGTAGCTGGGACTACAGGTGTACCACCATGCCTGGCTAATTTTTGGATTTTTAGTAGAGATAAGGTTTCACCATGTTGGCCAGGCTGGTCTTGAACTCCTGACCTCAAGTGATCTGCCCACCTCAGCCCTGCAAAGTGCTGGGCTTACTACAGGAGTGAGCCACCACTCCTGACTTGGTTTGCATCTTGAAAAGATCATCCTGACTGCATCACAGACAGTAAACTGGAGGGCTTCAGATGGACACAGGAAGATAAGTGGGGAGGCTATGGTTCCTGCCCAGGTGAGAGATGAAGGGGACTTTGGCTAAGGCAGGAGCTGAGAGGAGAGACCTGTAGAGACTGACTAGACAATTTTGGCAGAAATCTCAAGACAGGAGGATGGTTTGGATTGGAGTGTCTGAAAGGAGCTGGGATTTGAGCACAGAGCAGGCACTGTGAATCCACCGGAATCCACTGCTGTCGTTGGTGAAGGTGGGTTTACAGGATTATAAACAAAGCCTTTTTGGCTGCCTCTGGGTGAGATACTTTTGTAATCCAAAATATGCAATATGTCACATTCCTGAAAATGTTTCAAGGAAGCAGGTCTCAGAGAGCACACAACCCCTACAAATGGAATGTATTAACTATCCTAATTACTGAATGCCGAAATGCATAATGGAACTCATTATTTCTTAGAATGCATTCATATATTTTGATACAATCAGTTCACTGTACTTAGCCTGTAAGTACTTAATAGCCCATGCACTTTCCTTTCTAATCCAAGACGGCTGACCCAGTTGGGAATGACTGGGGATTGACTGACCTCACACCTGTCAGGTATCCTGTTCTTAGCATTAAGGCCAGGTGCATTTCAGATGATCCAGAGATGCAGGGCAGGAAGCAGTATTACCAGAGGGACTTTCAAACACCATTATTGATTTTGGACAGTGCAGAACATTCCCCAACATCCTCTTCCAGTTGTAATTTCTGGGCGGCATGATGTCCTAATTGACTTGTACAATGGGCAGTAGCATGGCCTTCTTGGAATTTAAGCCAAGCTAATGCATTTCCATTAGATCAGTGACTCACAGCCTAGACTTCCACTAGAATCACCTGGAGGGTCCTGGAAAATACTGATGCCTGGGCCTGGTCCCTAGGGATTCTAATTGTTTGGTCTAGGGCAGGGTCCGCACATGGGAGCTTGAAAAAGCTCTGCAGGTGACTCTGACATGCAGCCAGAGCATGCTTCTCAAACATTAGCACACATCAGAATCACATGGAGGACTTTCTAAACTACAGATTGCTGGGCCCCACAACCACGGTGTCTGGCTCAGTAGGTCTAGAATGGCTCCTGAGAATTAATTTGCATTTCTAACAAGTTTCCCAGTGATATCGATGTTACTCAGGGACCACATTTTGACAACGATTACAATAGATCAGTTCTCAACGGGGGCAATTTTGTCCCCCAGGGGAAATTTGGCAATGCCTGGAGACTTGTGGCTGCCATAATGGGTGGGGACAGTGGGGAAAGTGCTATTGCATCTGGTGGGTGGAGGCCAGAGATGCTGCTCAACATCCTACATTGCACAGGAGCCTCCTCCACAGAGAATTATCCCATGCAAGAGGCTGATAGTGCTGAGGTTGAGAAATCCTGCCTCAGATGCATCTAAGGTTTTTTTCGGGTTTGTTTGCTTGTTTGAGACAGACTCTGCCAGAGACAGACTCTGCCATCCAGGCCAACTGTTGCCTCCCAGGCTGGAATGCAGTGGCATGATCATGGCTCACTGCAGCCTCAACCTCCAGGGCTCAAGTGATGCTCCCACCTCAGCCTCCTGAGTAGCAGGGACTACAGGTGCACGTCACCACTCCCAACTGATTTTTTAATTTTTTGTAGAGACGAGGTCTCATTGTATTTCCCAGACTGGTCTCCAACTCTCACCTCATCCTCCCAAAGTGCTGGGATTATAGGCATAAGCCAGGGCACCTGGACCAATCTAAATTCTTGAGGAGGCTGGGCACGGTGGAGCACGCCTATAATCCCAGTGCTTTGAGAGGCCGAGGCAGGTGGATCACCTGAGGTCAGGAGTTCAAGACCAGCCTGGCCAACATGGTGAAACCCTGTTTCTACAAAAATGCAAAAATTAGCCAGGCATGGCCTGGTGTGGTGGCTCATGCCTGTAATCCCAGCACTTTTGGAAGGCCGAGGCCGACGGATCACCTGATGTCAGGAGTTCAAGACCACACTGATGGATATGATGAAACCCCATCTCTACTAAAAATACAAAAATTAGCCGTGCATGGCATAGTCAGCTACTCGGGAGACTGAGACAGCAAAATTGCTTGAACTCGGGAGGTCGAGATTGCAGTGAGCCGAGATCGCGCCATCGCACTCCAGCCTGGGCAACAAGAGCAAAACTCTGTCTCAAAAAAAAAAAAAAAAAAATTCCAGGCATGATGGCAGGTGCCTGTAATCCGAGCTACTTGGGAGACTGAGGCAAGAGAATTGCTTGAACCTGGGAGCCTGAGGTGGTGGTGAGCAGAGATGGCACCATTGCACTCCAGCCTGGGTGACAGAGCAAGACTCTGTCTCAAAACAAAAAAAAGCCTAAGGAAAACAAAAAGATAAAGTAAACTTAATAGCTTCTGGCCCCTTTGTACAGCACCTCAGCATTTTGGGAGGCCGAGGACGGCAGATCACCTGAGGTCAGGAGTTCGAGACCAGTCTGACCAACATGGTGAAACCCCATCTCTAGTAAAAAAATACTAAAATTAGCTGAGTGTGGTGGTACACACCTGTAATCCCAGCTACTTGGGGACTGAGACATGAGAATCACTTGAACCAGAGAAGTGGAGGTTGCAGTGAGCCGAGATTGTGCCACTGCACTCCAGTCTGGGTGACCGAAAAAGGCTCCACCTCAAAAAAAAAAAAAGCATTCAGGCGAACGGGAGAAACCACATGGGGGCTACTTCTGAAGCTGGGTGCCCAGTTGCCCACCCAGCAGCCATTCCCTCCTTTCTTCCCTGCAGACCCACTGCTCCCCCAGCTGATTTAGGAGCAGATCCGATTAGTCTTAGTCATCCTGGTGCTCCAATCCCCCTGCCTGGGACCAGCATAGAGGTGGATGGGAGGCCCAGTGGGAGACTGCCAGGAAGACATCGTCGCTGCTGATGAACCATGCAGAGAGACAGCAGCCCCCCTTTCTGTATAAGACACAGTGATGCTCGGATGGGATGTGGACCTTGGTGGCCTCATGTGGCTCAGTGGGCAGAAGGATGGAGAAAACCTGATGCCCAGTGCCGTGACTGCAAATGGGCACTGGACGTGAGCTGCGTATCAGCCTAGAGCCGTCCTCACACTGGACTTCTGACTTGGAAGGCGACATTCTCCTTGCAGTTTAAGCCAGCTGAGTTGGGTTTTCTGTTCGTCACTGCTGAAGGCATCCTGGCTGCCACTTACATGCATAGCCATCAGCCAACCCTGAGAGGCAGGTCTAGAAGTGCTTACGGGTCCCAGTAAAAGGCTCAAAGGGGCGATGTCCCTTGCTGGAGATTACACAGCTTCGACCCAGGCTGGCCACTGTGCTCCACCCTGACCTTCAGCATGAGGGGCCCCGTCCATTCTCTGCAACCCCTGTGGGCCAGGCCCTCCTAGGGATGAGCACTTGCTCTCTTGAAGGAGGAGAGGGCCCGCAGTCCCTTTTGCCAGCTGTGAGAGGGGCAGGGGCTGAGTGATGGGCCGCGCTCCTGGTGGGGACTCTGACCCAAGGGCTCCGGCCCTGTGGCTGAGGGCAGCTCCATCACCTCCTGTGACCCCTGCCCAGGCAAGGGAGGCTCCTGCCAGGCCTGGTTTGGCCCCTGCAACCTGGCCCCACTGCTGCCCCATCAGAAGGGAAGCTGGGGCTGGGCCAGCCAGCTCAGAGTGAGCCCTTAATCACCAGAGGGACCTTAGTTAACTGCTGACCCAGCGGCATCACACCCCCAGCCCAGGAGGCCTAGCTCTGCTGCAGCATCCCCCACCACTCTCCTGACCATTCTCTGCCCTCCAGCCACAATGGTCATGTCCTCAAAGGGGCCACTAAACCAACATTTTGCCCATAAGGGTGGGGAAGCATCTCCCTCCCAGTTTCTATGTGCCAGGTGCATAGAAAGTTATGCATACAGAGAGGGAGCAGGGTGCTGGGTCTAGACCCAAGTGACTGGGTTCAAACGCACATGAACTGTGTGACTTTTTGAAATTGACGGACCTGCTGGAGTATGGGAACAATAACAGCACCCACCTCATCGTGAGGATTAGATGAGCTAATCAGCATAAAGGTCTTATAACAGGGCCTGGTGCATCTTCAGTGCAAAAGTGTCGGCCAGTGCAGCTGCTATTTGTAGGTGTGCAATATAGATTTGAGGAAGGGAGGGAAGAAGAGAGGGAGAGGAGGGCCATCTCCACACCCCAATTCCAGTGTCCTTTGCCACCCAGAAGCCCACCCTTCACAGGGCCACCGTGAGGGGGACTGTGGCTTTGCACTTACCCACGGTGCTGAACACTGTGCAGCAGAAAAAGAGCGAGCTCAGGAAGGACCAGTTTGTGGTCCTGTTAAACCACTGAGGCTTCACCTTCTGCAGATGCCCCTGGAGATCCTGTTTCCTATCTTCCACCACTGGAGAAAGACACGACCAAGAGTTTGAGGGAAAGGTTCTGCTGGTAAAGACAAGCCCCGCCCCGGTGAAAGGGGGATAGTCTTCCCCAAGGACCAGCAGCCCCCTCGCCTTATGGTCAGTATCAACACCAAAGCTTGGTGATTGAAGCCCTCCTTTAAAATATTTCTGCAGCCTGGATCCTGCCTTTGGTCCCCATGGAGATAAGGAGGCCACTTAGCCCTGTGAGAAAAGCACCTAACAGAGAGGCCCATGGGGGGTCCCGCCAGAGCTTAGCCCTGGCATTGCTGTGTAGTCTTTGCCTTTTACTTCTCTGAACCTCCATTTCTTTTTTTTTTTTTTTTTTTTGAGACAAGAGTCTTGCTCTGTTGCCAGGCTGGAGTGCAGTGGTGTGATCTTGGCTCGCTGCAACCACTGCCTCCCTGGTTCAAGCAATTCTCCTGCCTCAGCCTCCCAAGTAGCTGGGACTACAGGGGTGCACCACCACACCCCTGCCCAGCTAATTTTTGTATTTTTAGTTGGGACGGAATTTCACCATGTTGGCCAGGATGGTCTCAATCTCTTGACCTCGTGATCCACCTGCCTCGGCCTCCCAAAGTGCTGGGATTACAGGTGTGAGCCACCGCACCCCGCCTCTTTCATCTTTCAAAGGAAGATAACTTCTGCTCTGCCTCTCACACAGGGTTCTCAAGTACTAAAAGCAAAAGGCTTTTAGGAAAAGCAAGCTGTTACACAGAGGCAAATCATTCCCACTCCTGGAGGTTATTACACTTGATGGAGTTTGCCGGGCATGATGGCTCATGCCCGTAATTCCAACACTTTGGAGGGCTAAGGTGGGCGGATCATTTGAGGTCAGGAGTTCAAGTCCAGTCTTTCAACATGGTGAGACCCTGTCTTGACTAAAAATGCAAAAATTAGCCAGGCTTAGTGGCACACGCCTGTGGTCCCAGCTACTTGGGAGGCTGAGGCAGGAGAACCGCTTGAACCTGGGGAGTGGAGGTTGCAGTGAGCCGAGATAGCGCCACTGCATTCCAGCCTGGGTGACAGAGCAAGTCTGTGTCTAGAAAAATAAAAATAAAAACTTGGAGTTTGATCATCATACCACCATACTGTGATCTTTGGGCACCAGCTACCTGTGAGTGTCTCCTCCAGAGCTGGGAAAACTTGACTTCCTAAACATGGGTTCCAGGGCTAATAGCAGGGTTGGGAATCCTGGTTTCCCAGAGAGGTTCCTGAATGGCTCAATTGGCCTGGGCAGCCAGTGGACTTTGGGACCCCAGAGGCCACCTGCTAGACTAGTTCAGCCTGAAGAGAATGGCACTGAGCCTGGCATGCAGCAGGAAGTCACTATTCCTTTTAACTGGCACCAGCCTGGGAGTCTACGCACCTCAATTCCAGACCTAGCTCTGACCTTGACAAGTTCTGTAACTGTGGACAAGAGGCTGCTTTCTGAGCCTCAGTTTCCCCATCAGAGAGACAGCCTGAGATGGTGGTGAAAGGTTCAGGCTCTGGAATCCAAATACATGGGGTTAAGTCCCTGGGTCCATTTTTCTAGTTTGCGAACTTAGACAAATTGCTTAACCTCCCAAGGCCTCAATTTCCTAATCTGTAAAAGAGGGACAACTTCTACCCAACATATAGGCTTCTTGTGAGGATTGGGTGAGAGAACGTGTGAAGTGTTTGCCACAGGGTCTACATGCAACTAACCCTTATGGAACATTTTAATCTCCAGTGAAAATTGGTACCAAATGGAGTGGGACCAGCTCTGCGTTCCCATACCCTGCTGTGCATTGGAATCACCCGATAAACTTTATTTTTACTTATTTACTTTTGAGACATGACTGGCTCTGTCATCCAGGCTGGAGTGCAATGGCACAATCACAGCTCACTGTAGCCTCAAACTCGCAGGCTTAAGCGATCCTCCTGCCTCAGCCTCCCAAGTAGCTGGGACTACAAGTGCGTGCCACTTCATCTGGCTAAATTTTTAAACTTTTTGTAGAGACAGGGTCTCATCTTGTTGCGCAGGCCTGATTCTCCCACCTTGGCCTCCCAAAGTGCTAGGATTATGGGCGTGAGCCATGGTGCTTATCCTGGAAACTTTAAGACTCCCAACCCAGCCCTGGAGATCCTGATTAAGTGGGTTTGGAGAAGAGCCTGGGAATGTGTACTCTAGGCAGTCTCCCTGGGTGATTCTGATGTGTTGCTGGCTTGGAGAGCCTTGAACTTGCTGGTAGTCTAGACCCTGCGATGGTACAGTGTCCCTTTGATAGCAGTTTCCCAGGTTCACTGAGCAGGCTGGCTCCCGTCTGGCAAGGATGCAGGGAGTGGGACCCTCCACAGACAGGGTACTCTGCCTCCCTGGACCAGCCTCTTGTCCCTGGGAGCCACACCTGTTCCCAGAGCAAGGTCGGGGATGTTGAAGGAGCCCCCACACCAGAGTGGGAGGGGAGGAGCTCCCTGCACCCTGTTCTTCTGCTGACTTTGAGTCTGGTTTCATTTGTCTTTCATTTATCTACTCTCCCTTGTTTTATCTTGCTCTGTTGAATATAATAACAAGCTTCCTTTGTGGAACACAGAGTAGAAACAAGTGATAAATACAAAGAAAATGCAATAAGGACACTATAAAGTGCCTTCTGTCTTCCAAGAGCCAGAATGTTCCTTGTCTCTTCTGCTTCTCACAGGGTCCCTGTGACCGCCAGGCCTGAGATTGGGGGTCCCCTTCTCTCCCGCAGACTGAGGCCCAAAGAGAACAAAGCTTTGCCTCCACAGATTGCGGAGCAAGCTGGGAGAGCAGCCGGGACAAGAGCCAGGACCCCCGCCCCTCCCCCAGGTCTTCTCACAGCACCTCCCCACTCACCTGAGCCAGACAGCAGAAAAGGACTTTAAAACAGGAAGTGGGGGTGTGGGGGGGCTGGTGCTCCTGCTGGGATTCAAACCCAATTTGGGTTGTTCCCTAACTTCTCACCCCTGCAAACTGAATCCTGGGTCAGGCAGACACAGTCCTGAGAAGCAGCTTAGCCCCCCAACCCCAGGCCCAGATTTGCTCACCCACACACCCTACTCCACCCCACCCAATTCCCAGTAATCCACCCTCCCCTGAGGCTGCTGGTCTGGATGGGGCTGGGAGCTGAGACACAGGAAGGGGAGCTGGTCTTTCCCGAGTACCTCCTGGGTGCTCAGGGCCTTTCCTGCATTCTTCGCAGCAACCCCAAAAGGTGGTTAGTCTCCCCACTTTTCAAAGAAGAAAATAGAGGTTCAGAAAGCAGTTACTCGCCTAAAGTGCCCAGGCATGAGGAGGATCCAGGCAGGCAGCTCCCAGACCCAGCCTCCTGGAAGGCAGCCCTCTGCTCTCAGGGGACTGCTGCCACCACGGAGAAAAGGCACACCCTGTCCCGGTGAGGCACCTACCTGTTTCACTGCAGTTCAAGATTCTGCAGAGCTCCTCCAAGAACTTCTCAAATTCTCCATCATCTGCTGCCACCAGGACCTGGCCATCCTCAATGGCAGAGAAGAGCACAGCACCCACCAGGGCGTAGGTCACCAGAAAGCAGAGGAAGCAGAGGCCGGGAAAGAGCTTTCCCAGGGCCTCTGGGCAGCATCTCCTGGCCTGGGGGTGCCCGGAGGCCTCCATCCTCCCTGGAGCATGCAGGGCAAGAGTTGCTGGTGGAAGAGGCAGGAGCATCTAAGCCCCGCCAGGAAGATGGGGTAGGAGTGCCCGGAGAACAGCCAGGCTCCAGCGCTAAGTGGATGGTGCGTGTGCTTCCCCAAGGACTCAGGAAGCAGCCGGCAACTCATCATGTTCAGTTCATCCGAACTACTCAGATGGCGCCCTCCCTAGCACCCCAGATTGCTATTGATCCGCTGGGCCGGCCCTGGAGCTGCCTGGAAGGGGCTTTGGGAGGATAGTGTGGTGGTGGTTTTGTGCTTCGTTTAATCTTTTCTATCCCCGAACTGCAGTTTTGAATTGCGGATCCCAAACCTGATCTTTGGCATTTAGTCAAGTGATTCTTTCCTGAGAGCTGCCTGTGACACCACTTGGCTTAGGGTACCTGGTCTCCTGGACAGGTGATGATAGTAGTAACTAATGCGGCCAGAGCTCAGTAGTTTCCAAAGGACCTTTATCCTGTGTGGATCTAATTACTGGTCCCCATGCTTCACTGCCCTGCTGCATACCCCCTCTTGCCGTGGCCTCACGGTGGGCAGAGTACTTCCTTGAACTTGGCTTTACAGCAGGTCATCTCAGTTGCTCCAGCCAGCTGGGCATTAGCAGATGTGATGCAAGCAGGGGCGAGGCCTGTGCTTGTGCATTTGGACTTCCTCAGCTATGCCTTTGTCTGCCATGAGAAAAGGTGCCCCAGCTTTCAATTTTCAGTTCAGAGTAGGCCAGTGTGCAACTTTTTTTTGGTCGTCCTGAATCCAGGTTCATCCAACACCAGCTACCTCCACCCCGCACCCTAAGTTTGACCCCAACGAGACTAAAGTCTGAGGTGCACTGGGAATGATGTTGGTGCCATGTCTGTGCTGGCCCCTAAGATCAACCCCCTGTGTCTGTCTCCAAAACACATTGGTAATGACATTGTTAGGGCAACCAGTGACTTGAAGGATCTGAGGATGACAGTGAAACTGACCATTCAGAACAGACAGGCACAGGTTGAGGTAGTACCTTCTGCCTCCGCCCTGATCATCAAAGCCCTCAAGGAACCTCCACGAGACAGAAACAGAAAAACATTAAGCACAATGAAAATATCATTTCATGAGAATGTCAACATTGCCTGACAGATGCAGCTCCGATATTTAGTTAGGGAACTCTCTGGAACAATTAAAGAGATCCTGGGGACTGCACCGTCTGTGGGCTGCCATGTTGATGGTCACCACCCTCATGACATCAACAATGATACAGCGGAATGCCCAGCTTGTTAAGCACAAAGGAAAATACTTCAATAAAGGATCGTTTGACAACCAGTGGGGGTAAAAAGTGCCTTAGATGGCAGCTGTGGAGATGCAGGCAGGTTTAGATCCCTCTTCCAGAAAGGACTCGCTGTGCAGCTCTGAAGAACATGGTTCGTGACAGCCCCTTTCGTTCTCTGAGGGTTTGCTACCAGTTTCAAGCCCTCTTCTTGGAGAAGCCTGTGCCTACTGACTAAACAAGGCGGGGACCCAAGGGCCTATTCATTTCTGCCCAATACAGGACTCCTCCAACCTGCAGTCTTTGTTCCAGAGTGGCCCGTTGGTCTACAGAGACCTTGTTAGTCTGCGTTATGATCCAGAGACTTCCCTGTTCCATCTACTTCCTTCATTTTCATTTTACCAGTCTTCCCAATAAAGCTTTTGCAATCGTGACTCTGTCTTGGTGTCTGCTTCCCAGAGGATCCAACAGTAGTTGGCACCAGAAGTGGTCTGAGAAAGCCTGCTCAAAAAGCTAAGATGGGGGCCGGGCACAGTGGCTCGCACCTGTAATCCCAGCACTTTGGGAGGCCGAGGAGAGCGATTGCTTGAGGCTGGGAGTTCAAGAACAGCCTGGCCAACATGGCAAAACCCCATCTCTACTAAAAATGCAAAAATCAGGTGTGGTGGTGCACACCTGTAATTCCAGTTATGTTGGGAGGCTGAGGCACAAGAATTGTTTGAACCTGGGAGGCAGAGGTTGAAATGAGCTGAGATCACACCACTGCACTCCAGCATGAACAACAGAGTGAGACTGTCTCAAAAAAAAAAAAAAACTAAGATGGGGTTTGAGGACTGGGTCCCTCAATACTGAAGTGGTAAGGAGATGATATATAGGTAGCCTTTGGTGCAAGGTGGCTGCCCAACTATTAAACTTGTCACCAGCAGTGAGCTGGGATGGCATGTTGACTAGTGCAATGTTTCGCATTTGAAACATTGAAGGAATGATAAACACAAGATCAATAAGTTTGGATGGCTATTATGAAGTTGCACTGACCCCCTGGAGGCAAGCTTAGAAGAAGGAAGTTCATAGAACAAACAGCCCCTGTTACTGCCACCAGTCTCAAGGCTGCAACTGACACTCATCATCTCCTTCCTTCACTATTCATTCTAACTTTTCCTTGCCCTCTGCTACCTCTTCGACTGGTCTCAATGGCTTACCTGATGGAATGATCCTAATCCTCATCCCTGGGGGGGTCTGAGCCCTTGGTAACCACATCCTTTTCAGGTTGGGGCTGCTTGTGCTTGTCCACTTACAGACAGTTGGGTAAGAAGTACCAAGAGGTACCCAAGTGAGTCACCTGAGCTCCACCTATATTATTCTCTGCCCTCCTTGTGTGAAAGCAGCCCTGCCTCCTGCTGACCAGGTCAATTGCCCCTGTATTAGTCCGTCCTCATGTTGCTGCAAGGATACTACCCAAGACTGGGTAATTTATAAAGGAAAGAGGTTTAATTGACTCACAGTTCAGCATGGCAGGGGAGGCCTCAGGAAACTCACAATCATGGCGGAAGGGGAGGCAAACACATCCTTCTTCACAGGGTGGCAGGAAGGAGAATGAGTGAGTGCCCAGCGAAGGGGGAAGCCCCCCATAAAACCATCAGATCTTGTAAGAACAAACTATCGTGAGAACAGGATGGGGTAAACGACCCCATGATTCAATTGTCTCCATCTGGTCCCTCCCATGACACATGGGGGTTATGGGACTTACAATTCAAGAGGAGATGTGGGTGGAACACAGTAAAAACATATCAGCCCCTGACAAGATGGCCACCCATTTTCTTACCTGCTGGTTCCTGGACACAAGGATCTCAAAGTGCCCAGGGAGCAGTCATAAGGTGTATTCAATGCACCCCTTGCTGGGTTTCCAGATGAGTGTGTCCCCCTTGGGGACCAAGAATTCTAACACTGCAGAGCCTAGAGTTCTGGAGATGGGAAAAAGTGAAGACGACATGTAGTTGTATAATTTTCCAGAAAGGGGCAAATGCTTCATTGCACCTGTACCACCCTGAAGAAAGAGAAGGCAAGATCTCCAAGCCTTGAGCAAACCAGTCTCCCGGCACGTCCTGCTCCCACGTTTTTACCCTGTGGATGCCTGTATTGCTCGGGCTTCATTTGTTGAGAAGGTTATCTTCACTGCATTGAATTTGTTTCTCACCTTTCTGGAAAATCTGTTGAACATATTTGTGTGGGTCTGTTTCTGGGTTTTCTATTCTGTTCCATTGACCAATGCATCAATAGCACATAGCCCTTCACCAATAGCACACTTTCTAATTCCTGTAGCTGTGTAGTAGGTCTTAATGTCAGATAGAGTGATTTCTCCTGCCTTATTCTCTTTTCAAGATTGTTTTAACTGTTTTTAAGGCTTTTCCCTATAAATTTAAGAATCATCTTATCTATGTATACATAAAACCTTGCTGAGATTTTGATAGGGATTACATGAAATCTATAGATCAATATGGGCAGATGCAACATCTTTACTGTGTTGAATCTTTCAATCCATAAATGCGGTATGTCTTTCCTGGCCATTACTTTTGAAAAACAGCTTAGTGTGCTCCCATGATTCTTGATTCAAGGCAAGAATTAATTTTTAGGGCCAGGTGCAGTGGCTCATGCCTGTAATTACAGCAGTTTGGGAGGCCGAGGTGGGCAGATTGCTTGAGGCCAGTAGCTTGAGACCAGCCTGACCAACATGGTGAAACCCCGTCTCCACTAAAAATACAAAGAAATTGGCTACTAAAAATACAAACAATTGGTGGCACATACCTGTAATCCCAGCTACTCGGGAGGCTGAGGCATGAAAATCATTTGAACCTGGAAGGTAGACGTTTCAGTAAGCTGAAATCGTGCCACTGCCCTCCAGCCTGGGTGACAGAGCAAGACTTTGTCTCAAAAAAAAGAAAAAAAAAAAGTTTAAATATAAGAATGAGTGGCCGGGCGTGGTGGCTAATGCCTGTAATCCCAGAATTTTGGGAGGCCAACGCGGGTAGATCACGAGGTCAGGAGATCGAGATCATCCTGGCTAACACGGTGAAACCCCATCTCTACTAAAAATACAAAATTAGCCAGGCATGCTGGCGGGTGCCTGTAGTCCCAGCTACTCTGGAGGCTGAGGCAGGAGAAGGATGTGAACCCAGGAGGCGGAGCTTGCAGTGAGCTAAGATTGCACCACTGCACCCCAGCCTGGGCGACAGAGTGAGACTCCATCTAAAAAACAAAAAAGAGCAAGTAGTCAAGTTATTTGTTACTTTTTAGGTAAGGCATTCTAAGTGTTATTTAATGCATGTGAGGTCAGTGTTAATGGAGAAAAGTGTTAGATGGTGAAAGTCTGAAAATGTATTTTTACTCCTTATTTTAAGTCTTTTCAAAAATACTTCGAGTATCTAGAATAGTGTACAGAATGACTTCACAGACCCCTGTGTCTCCATCCTCCTTGATGGTAGGTATCACAATGTCATGCATCATCTAGAAAGCAACAGGGAGCTGGGAGGGAGGGACACTGATGAGCCACAAGCTGAAGGTAAGTGAACTCCAGCACATTACTAGCCAGATTATCTAGTTGTGTGTAACTCCGTGTGTCTATTTCCCAGTTTCAGTTTTTATTGAAACATTCCAGTCTTGTCTCAAGTATACAAGAGTCATTTGGCCACATTTGGGCCAATGTAATGATAGTGGCAAGAATGGGTAAGAACCCACAAGAGAAGGGAAATATTGTGGATAAAGTCAGGACCGTGAGGTCCAGCCACTCCTCCGCACTACATGCCCGTCAGAGAGAGAGAGAGAGAGAGAGAGCAGGTGGCCATCAGTCAAGCAGCCAACAAGCA